CCCCAAAACCCCAAAACCCCAAAACCCCAAAACCCCAAAACCCCTTAAAATTTTAGTGATATTGAAATTTTGGAGACTTTATAAATGATTCTTGGCACGGTGCATTCTTGAATACGGACTGTTTTGTCCGATAGTGTCGATGTTGGCAATGCTAGCCTGTGGAGTGTAGTTTTTGTAATCCTGCACACTGGTGTAATCAGTTAAATGATTCTGCACATACTTATCCTGACTTACTCCTTCAGAGAGTTTTTGGGATCCTACAATCAAAATAATGACCCACTTTGTTATGAAATTCGTAATTAATGTGAATGACATTATTATGATAAACAAATCTATTTTCTCACAAGGCAGAAGGAATAGATTGGTATCTAAAAATCTGCTAATTATACAGTAATCTAGATGAAGATGGACATACTGATATTCTTCATTCCCTCAGTTAGGCTATTGGTGTACTTAAGTTCTCTATAAATTGAAACATTGTGCTTACTCATGTCTTTCCTTGTCTTTCAGGTTGAATCTGTTATTTATATCTTTCTTGCTGTTTAAAGACCATTTAAAGATCTTTTCAGGCCTGTCAACGATATATGTTCCTCCAGAGTTAACATCTCTAAGGTACCCATGGTATTTTCCAGGTCTTTGGTTGAAAATTGCTAAAGTTTGCCTTCAAAACTTACTCTTGATCTGCTGGCTGTCAACGAAATATTTCTTTGGTTTATGCTTGAAGTGGTTTGGAGAGGCACCCTCTATATCTGACTTCTTAAGAGGCCTCATCTTATTATCATCTATTTTCTCCTGTGATTGGAGATATGGGTACATGCTCCTGTCGTTAATGTTATCCATAGAGTAGTCTAGGTTATGTAAACCGCTCATTTTTGAGCTGTGCATCTGGGATTTTAGAAGGAATACTTACATTAGCTCTTCTATTACTAGTAAAGTCACTATAGAGGTCAGGAAAGGAGATTTACAGGAATACTTACACTGACTTATTCCTAATGCTACCTTTAGCAGTCGCATTATTTTTGGCTCCCATGTCAATGGAGTTGGAGAGGAAAGCACTCTGCCTCAATTCCTTTCCTCTTATTGAAGAATTTAGGATTTTTGAATGGTTTTTATACCCCTATAAATAAAATTTAATGGCTATCGAAAGTTTGGATTTTGCAAAAGTGTTCTCAAGTAGATAATTTGGTAAGATTCAATTCTCAAAAGGTTCAAAAAAACTTACATTTAAGCTAGCATAGTTAGTTTTACCAGCAAGCGTTAAGGAACCTCTCAGGCTAGGATGCTCCTTCACATGTAATCTCATTCTGTTAATATAGGCTAGCTCATCAGGCTGAGGCTTGTTTGGAGAAATCTCTCTTTCAATATTTGAACCAAGCATAGTATTTCCTATGAAGTCTTAACATTCACCTTTACCTGTGATAGGATTGATGACAACTGAGTGTTCTGATGGCAAATAGTCCATTTTAAAATTTATCAAAGTCAACAAAAATTATTTAATAAGGGGTTTTGGGGTTTTGGGGTTTTGGGGTTTTGGGG